CCTGCTGAAAGAAATACTCTTTACCCACAGGCTGTCTTTGGCAGCAGGACTCACCTCAACAGCCCTGGCTATCTTCAACCACACGTAACATCTGACACAACTGCTGGTGCTGTGAACTACACATGGGGACTCCCCAGCAAAATGACAACATTTGCATCCTGCGTGCTACGCTCAAGCACCGCTACCACCAAATATAAAAGCACAGGCCAAGGAAGTTATATTAGCTTACTTTCACCAGAAAAACAGGGCCATTTTGTCTTTGCCTTAATTTTCTCCTTGGTCTCAAATAAATAATTATAAGAAAAGGGGGAAAACTTAGCTCAGGATTATCTACAGAGATTGAAACAAGAACCCCTCCCTTTTGGAGAGAAATCCAAAGAGGAAAGTAAACCTCCCTTTTTCTTCACAAGAATTCGTTAAGCACCTCACAACAGAGGGGAATGCAGAACTTAGTGAATAATAACAAAACCAGAAACAAAAATAGGAAGAAAGAAGAAACAAGGTCCCAAAACGGAATGGCATCGACAAATTAAACAGCATCACTGAGCCTCATTAGATTATTGCTCCAATTAGCATTATACAGCCAAAACATAATAGTACAATGTTTCCAATGTACAATATTAGGCATTACTACTACAAATGTTAAATTAAAAAGCTATCCAACTCTGCAGTGCTACTGCCATGAGATCAAAGCTTTCAAAACAAATCACAGATTTAATACTAAGCACATCACAAAACAGACAGAAAAGACCCAGTAAATAACCCCATGCCAGAGCAGGATTACTCCCTGCAGAGCATCCCAAGAGCTTCACTTGCCTCATGAAAGGGATTCCACCATTATTCTAAGCAGTCTTTGACAACCCCATTTAGATATTTTTTCACACTTTAAAACTTGAGCTGTTCTTTGTTTTCACTGTTACTTATTGCTTGCTAAATAGCAACACTTATCTCTTCATAGACTATTAACCATCAGCGTTGTGTTGCTGAAATAAACCCCACCAGCTCCTCTGTACAATGCTGAAGCCGCAAAAACAAAGAATGTAACATTCTGCCCCCATATCGAAGTCTAGAAAACTGTCACTTGTTTTAAACCCCAGTATTTATTAATTAGGATTTCTTCTATCTTAAAAAGGCTAAGAGCCTACATCTGCAATTCACTGCAGTTTGAACACTGAGATACTGACATAAAAAGCATCTTTCATCCTGCATTTCGAAACACTTGATAAATGCCAACCAGGTGACAGAGTCCAGCTTACGAACAGCAGCAGCAGAGTTAAAGGATAACCTTATCCTGCAGACCCAAGTGTGACTACAGCTACACCCAGATAGAGCAACACCAGCTTTAAATCAACTAAACAAGCTGTTGTTAGACGCAGTGTAACCACAGCGGCAGGAGCTGAGGACAGACGTGCTGTTTAGACATTTACTCCATTTCCCAAGGAGGTTTTTCCAACATTGCTGAATTCCCTGCTGCTGTGGCTGCACTACAAGCAGCACGAAAGCTAACTGGTTAAAAGTGGTATGTTCACATTGCAATCATCGATGTAATGGCAGCTCGTACCATAAACTGCTCTGAAGTCACAGAGGTGTCTTATGCTTCTGGAGCATAATCTTCTGACCTCAGTGCTGTAATTTAGACATTAAAACGTGCTCCCATTTAGATGATGGTCTTGAAGCACTTTCAATCTATGCATCTGGTTCCTGATGAACAGTTTTGTCCTAGTACCAGTAAGTTACGTGAGAACTCCAGCCACTCAACAGGACATATTTGCACCACAAAAGACTGAGTCAGCTCCAGACTCCTCATCTGTGTGGGCAAAATTCAGTCCCGCAGTGGCAGCACAGTGGATTCCTGGAAGGCAGGAAGGAGGAGGAAAGTATCTGGAAAGTTTCTACAGTGCAGCTCACTTGTGTCCTTTAGGCCCAACTCTTCGATCATTATCCCAAGATGAAGAATCTCCAACTTCTGCAGACCTCCCTCCAGTTACCTCCTTCCTACCAACCCAGCAAGCAGCAGCTCCTTTTCCCCTCTTTCTTACCTTATCTATGTACCATACTGTGTCTGCCGGGCTGCTAGGAAGGGGCAGAACTATACACTATTCCTACAGGAGGAAGAAAACACTTCAAAAGCAAGGGGGAGCAGCCTTGGAAAGCAGGTTTCTGCTCCTGCTTTCACCCAGAATCGCAACTGCTTCCTTTTCCCTCAAAGCTGGCCCCTTCACCAGCAATAGCAGCATCGACCACCACGTTACAAGACCTGGCAGTCTGCATCCCGGACAGCTGGGCACTGTGTCTCTGGTTAAACTAACTCCAAACAAGTCCTCAGAAATGAAACATAACACACAAGGTAGATTAAGAAAAGAATTAACACAAAAATCTCACTTCAAGCAACCTTAGTTATGTGTATTTGTTAAAGAAACTTATCTACACTTGTAACAATGTATTGTGAGGCTTGAACACTATTTTTAAACTGTTTAGAAAAGACTACGTTTAAATCAACAAAACTGGAAAGTATCTGGCTGCGTATCTGAAAACGGAAATTGTTAAAATAATAAACTCACTTCTGACAAAAAGATCTTGGTAGTTTCCATTCACTTCAGTGGCAGTGATCAAAAGCAAGAGTCAGAAGAGGAAAGTTACTTTTCCTGTTATACCAGCCTGTGAACATGAAGTTGGTATCAGCTGGTTTAAACTCTTGAAACTCACTTGCATCTTATACACAGCAAAAATAATTTAGTTCACAGATGATGGGTAGAACAAAATAACATAGAAATTCAGATTAAAATTGGCATATCACCCTAATTATCAAAGCAATCCACACCCCTAGAAATGTTATCGGCGTACATTGAAAGACTGGTCACTTAGAAAGCCAGGCAGGATTAGTGAGAAGAGAAACTAATGGTGAATCTCTTTTTTCAATAAAAGAAAAATCTTCCCCATGTTTCACAAGTTCCCTGAGAATGACTCCAGCATTAGGATGCAGGACTCTTGTTTTAGCTGCTTTGTTACAAAATGGGAGACACTGAAAATGAGCAGCTTGGTCAACACCTTTTAAGTTCAAACAAGAGCCAAATGGAAGCTACAGAAAACTCTTCCACACAGCTTTATGTAAAACCTCATTAAGTTTTATACACTGGAAAATAACTGACAAATGCTTTAAGCTCTGTAAAGAAACCAAACTGAAGAAGTCCCATGGAGAAAATACTATTCGTGCTTTCTTCTGAGCAGGCTTGTTTATACATACTTGCTCTTCCCACTCCACATGGAATACAATCAGCCTTTTCTAAATGCACTTACGTCTTCTAAATCATGCTTTTCCTGTCTACACTAACTGATGAATTCGTACTATCAACTTTAGGAGCTCCTTTATAGGCACACACAAAGAAAAAAAAAATCCCATGAACACTGTATGATCTGTAGAAATATCTTCACAAACAATACTTTTAGTTGATCCCAAAATGTTTTAGTTCGGCGTACGTTCACAGTAGAGAATGACAACTTTGAAATTATGTGTTTTTTATATATATCTAAAGCATCTTGCACAATATCTGGGTCACCTTGTGTAAATATACCTGTTCAAAGACAGCTCCCTTGGGCTAACAAGCCTGTACTTTCACAGATACTCCAAATCATCGTAAGTTGGCACTTCTTAAATAAAGAGTGCTCTGCTTCCCTCCCACCAGCTCCTGCACCATCCTTTCCTTGTATCAACCTAAAGGTTTTGACCTGGCATACAGAACATTAGAGGATGAAACTGGTTTTATGAAAAGAAGCACCTAGCAAGGAAAAAAGTCACCAGAGTCAGTAATGAATGGCTGAAAAGCAGCAACCACAGCACACTTCAGCACTACAGCTTGTGGAGATACAGCTAGCACAGCAGAACCACACGTCTCCAGTTC